TAACAGACCACCATGCGCCTGTACCATCAAAGTTTCTATGTCGAGCTAGATTTGACAGTAGGACTCGTCAACCAAACGAGTCAATATCAGAATATGTTGCTGCTTTACGTCATTTAAGTAGATTCTGTGATTTTGGAGAAACGCTGTCTGACAGACTATGTGAAAAGTTTGTGACAGGTGTAAACAGCCCTGATATTCAAAGAAAGTTGCTGCTCGAGTCAGATCTAAAATTGGAAAAAGCAATACAACTTGCAATGTCATTCCAGCAGTCATCAGATGCGGCGAGATCTTTAGCACCTTCAGAGATCCATGCAGTAAACAGCAGGTTAGTCAATAAACATCAACCCCATCAGAGCATTCCAACTTATGCTAAACAGCCTGCTCGTTCAAATCCTAGATCTAAATCTAGTAATAATTATCAAAAATGTCATCGATGCAAAGGTCCCCATGCATCTCATCGGTGCAAGTTCAAGTCTGCAACTTGTTATAAGTGCAGTAAGCAAGGTCACATTGCCAAGGCCTGCTTTGCAAAGTCTTCGTCTGTTGCTAAATCTAGCCAGTCAAGACAGTACCGCAACCAAAGGCAGCACTATGTTAACTCTCACCAAGACTACCTAACCCAACCAATGAACCACTCTACCTGTGAAAATGCTCAAACTGATTCGCAGCCGGATTTCAACCTGTTCTCTGTGAAATCAATAAGTCATGCTCCCATCAATGTACAAGTTAATATCAACGGTAAGAGCATCAGCTTCCAACTTGACACTGGAGCATCACTAACAGTCATCACAAAGAAAGATTTTGACGCTGTCACAGGAGGATCAGTGTCTCTACAGCCGTGTCACAAGTGTCTAACAACATACACTGGTGACAATGTTCCGGTAATAGGAGAGTGTATGGTTCATGTAAGTTATAATGGTCAAAGTGTTAAACTTCCTCTTCTTGTGGTTGAAGGAAATGGACCGCCATTACTAGGTAGGAACTGGTTAAGTGATCTTAAGTTAAATTGGGAGAGTATTTGTTCATTGAAGAATGTAAAAGAATCTAGTCTTACTTCACTAGATAAAGTTATATCTGAAAATAAATGTGTTTTTGGTAATTCAGGTTTACTAAATGATAGAACAGTGAAGTTAAGCATTAAAGATACAAATCCAAGATACTGCAAAGCTAGAGTTCCACCTTATGCAATGAGGAATAAAATTGAAAATGAGCTAAGTAGATTGGAATCTAATGGCATTATAAAGAAGGTAGACTATTCCGATTGGGCGACACCCATTGTGCCAGTGTTAAAGAAGGATGGTTCTATAAGAATTTGTGGAGATTACAAAACTACACTGAATAAGCAAATAGAGCTAAATAGGTACCCTATACCTAACATTGAGGAAATTTCTTTGAATTTGGCAGGAGGAGACAAATTCACTGAATTAGACTTTAGTCATGCTTACACTCAACTAGAACTGCATCCAGATTCAAAAGTCTATACGACAATAAACACACATAAAGGACTCTACCAATATGAAAGACTATGTTTTGGCATATCATCCAGCCCTGGAATTTTCCAAGCTGTCATGGACAGTATTTTTAAGGACATTCCAAATGTTTGTGTGTACTTTGACAATGTGTACATAACTGGTAAGAATGACACTGAACATCTTAAAACACTTGATAAAGTATTGAAAATTGTTGGTGAAAAAGGTTTAAAGATAAACAAAGATAAATGTCAATTCATGTTGACAGAAATTAGTTTTCTTGGTTATATATTAAGCAAGCAAGGTATCAGACCTCAACCTGAGAAAACAAAAGCCATTAAAGAAGCACCCAAACCTGAAAATACCCAACAACTAAGAGCTTTTTTGGGCTTGATAAATTACTATGCAAAGTTCATAGGGAATCTGTCTGGTAAACTATCACCACTGTACAAGCTGCTACAGAAAAATGCAACTTGGCACTGGGGTAAACAACAAGAAGCTGCTTTTAATACAGCAAAAGAGGCTTTGTCTTCTGACACCTTACTAACTCACTATGACCTAGGGAAAAGACTTATATTGACATGTGATGCTTCACCAGATGGTGTAGGAGCAGTCTTGTCCCACATGGATGAGAAGGGTGACAGACCCATTGCTTTTGCCAGTAGATCTTTGAACCAGGCTGAGAAAAATTATTCTCAGTTAGATAGGGAAGGCTTAGGCATCATTTTTGGTGTTAAGAAATTTCATAAGTTTCTGTTTGGTAGGAAGTTCACCATCTTTACAGATCATAAACCATTGCTAGGTTTATTTGGAGAAAACAAAACCCTACCTGAGCATGCCTCACCAAGAATTCAAAGATGGGCTATCACACTAACTGCATACAATTATGAATTGAAATACAAACCTGGATCTGAGAATAGTGCAGATAGTCTGAGTAGATTACCTTTAAAAAAAAAACCAAAGCCTGAGCTATGTACCAGAAGATGTATTTGTTCTCTTCACTATCATGGATAACTCCAATATAAATGTGAATGATATTAAAAGAGAAACACAAAAAGATGAGTGCTTAATAAAAATATATGAGTACAGTAAGAATGGTTGGCCTGAAGAGTCTGTGAATGATGACTTAAGGCCATATTAAATAAGAAATAAAAACCTTTGTGAAGATAATATAAAAGATGGAGAAGATACAGTCCATTATCAGTCAGAGTTGCCTAAACAAAGTATTTGTAACTTAATAAATGATTATGGTGATATGGCAATTTCAAATGTTTTAAAGAAAATACATTAGTAAGAAGGAATGTGATCATCAAACAACTTTGCTAACATCATTAGCACTTACAGAAACTAAAAGGGTAACATCAAAAGAAAAGAAAAAAGATTTTTGCCATTTAATACACCCACTTCAATAATACTGGATCACAGTTGCAAAGTGATATTGTCCAGGATATTACTTTTAAACAGTATTTTTGGTTACCAGGAAAGCACTATCAGATTACCTGAGGAAATTGATCAATCAAAGAAATCTATGTCAGTCAAGGATCTGAATAACAGCATAATACTTTCAGATGCCAATTCAAAAATAGTTCCATTAAATCATGACAACTCATGCATTGAAAGAGAATTTGGTGTTAATAAGAATGTGTATCTAAGAAATTATGGGAGAAAGGAAAAATGGATACCAGGTCAAATTGTTCAATGTACAGGACCTGTGTCTTATAAAGTAAAAACAAATGATGGACTTATTGTCCGTAGACATGCAGACCAGTTAAAAATAACTTGTGCAGATAATAAGTGTGAATCTGTCAATCCCACCAAATCTGAACAGTTCACACCAACTCAGTTTGTTCCACAACCAAGTTCTGTTGATATGAGTGAACCAAGTTGTCTGGAGTCAGAAAATGTAAATTCTGGAGTTAATGATTTAAATCCTAGACCTCCTGAGATAGAGAATCCAAATGGTCAGAATATTGAGTCACCAAATCAAAGCCACTGAGAAGGTCAAGCAGGACAATCAAGGTCCCAAATAAGTTAGACCTATGATTTTAAAGGTCAAAAGGACTTTGACATTATTGTTTTGTATCTTGATTATGTTGTGGCATATTGTGCATTGTTTGTAAGGATGTAATCTACCATAGTGTTCATGTTACAATATAATTGGTGATTTTAGGATACTATCAATTGTTCTATTGAGAGATGTGTTATTGTGTTCTAAGGGTAAAGGGATGTAATAGATTGAGTTAATTGTGAGGTCAAGGGAACTCACTCTCTGTATTAGTATTATATTTATATTGTTATCTTGAGTGATGTCCCTTACATGTTGTTATCTATAAATAGTTCTCTCTCGCCACTTCCGTCCTCTTTCCGGTTAACAAATAAAGCTGTTTACATGCTCATGGCTTCTGTCTCCGTTGTATTCATAATCTACCTCAATTCTAAATTTAAAAAAGTAAATGCAAACGCATTTGTTATTTAATATTTTGGCACATCGTCTTGTCCAATCAATATAAATTTCCTTGGTCAGATTCTGTGGATGTGGACAAGTAGTGGCGTCGCTAGGTTCGGGTGTCACCCCCTCCCCCAAGAAATAAAGTAGGTATATATATATATATATGTGTGTGTGTGTCAGCCTACATAGGCCTCTAATTTAAATATATGCCACATACATGTATATGTTTAAGCTTTAAACACTTCAGATTTAATAGTAATGATGTTTATCTAAAGTCCATTAATAATGCAGTTGGATATAGCATTGTTTTCTCTATAGTTAGCACGTTTACATCTGCACCCGCCCCTGCGGTCAAGTTTGGGAGTATTAGGGCACACGGATGTTAACCTAGGAAATCTTAAGTAAATAATAAGTTCATTCCAGGGCTAGACAGCGAGCCTGTGGCCATAGGTGTCCTTTTGCTCACACAATAATACTGAACTCAAGTTGTGGAAATGAAAGACTCTGGGCATAGAGATTGGAGTTACTTAATTTCAGGCACCCTCATTTGGTGCATTTCAACTCTTTTATTTTGCAAAATCCTCAGTTGATGCACATCATCCCTTTGATTAGCAAAACCCATCTCAGTGCATCTGATCCCATTTGATTTTCTAAAACCCTCATTTGATGCACCTAAACTCTTTAAACCCTTATAGTTGGTGCACCTTGGCCCTTTGATACATGAAACACTTTTAAAATCTTTTTATCAAAGGGGTTGTTAAAAAATAATAATAATAAGGGGCGGAAGGTGGGTTTGATAAAATAATGGACATAACTTCTAAAAAATTCATAACAAAGAGACTTAGAAATATGACAATTCTCTACCCAATTGAGTTGCTTCTTTCTGTTACTACTTCAATTTAGTTTACTTCGTCATTTCTCTAGTTAAAAAGAAACAACCAAGAACTATGAGGTATAGTAGTCAATAGTAGTTGGCACTTTAATTCTGAGGCAGTTTTCTGATTTGTTACAATAAAAAAATATATTATATTGCCTTTCTCAATATCTTAGAACACAAAAAATATCTCCTTTAAAACAATCTACAAAAGATCAATGATATTTTTATTTCAATATATATGATTTCAAAAGGTAATTGCAATTATTAAAACTATTATTGATCTAAAATATAAATATGAATTTTTCATATAATTAAATGCTATCCAACAACAAAACTGTCAGAATTCTTGACATCTGTAATGCTTCTTACTCTCAGCCGAGACATCAGTTGTGGCAAACTAACATCATCTACAGACTTAAACATGACCTTCACGGTTGAGGTAAACATTGGAAAACCATTATCCGAAAACAAACCAAGAACATCAGATGAAATCCATACATACAAAGCTATAACATCACTTGTGACTTCAATTTCAAATGTGTTATTACCCAGCTTAACAACAGTGGAGATCTGAAAAAAAGGCAAGTAAAGAAATGTAGTTATGGCAATGTGAAGTATACAGTACAATTTGGCATGCAAAATCAGTTTTTAAAATTTTTTACACGTATGAAAAAACCTAATATTAGTAATATTTGCTAAAATTTTACAATAATTTCTACTAAAGTATGGCATTATTATTTTCAAATACAAGTCTAAGTTTGGATGGCATTAACAAAGTGTAAAAGTGCTTGAATTAAATTAAAAAAAAATGATTTAGAAACTTTAACAGAAGAGATTTGATCCCATTGAATTAAAAAAAAAAAAACACCTTTTTATAAGTTTGCTACATTTGGACTGTATTCAAATTTTAAAGCTGGTAGTAAAATGTCTACATTTTTAAAAAAAATCATGATCATGCTCATCTTAATCAACAAAGAGTTTGATACCTTAACATTAGCAGGAGGAAGAACTGAATCTTTGGGATATGTCAGAGCAAACCACGAGGAAGATTTCTGAACCCCGCTGGTGTCTGTGGCAGTGAGAGTAAGGATACATTTCTGTTTAGCTGGGCACCCAGACTCAGAAATTATGTCAGAGACTTTCTTAGTGAACACGGATTCTGCTGTTGTTTTTAGCTGTTGGTAAATCAGGAAAAGAAAATTAAAATTCCGTTTAGACAGATATACTTAAATTAAAAAACAACATTTATTCAGAAAAAGGTAAAGTGACATGAAATAAATTTATAGAGACTGTATTTGTAATGACCTTTGATAAACATATCTTATTTTAGTATTTCCATTAGACAATGAAATATAAAATTATTTAACTCATATATTCAGTTCTAGATTCTAGTTGATGGGTATGATTGGCTCACATTATAATTGACACTCCAGGAGTGGAGAGACTGGAAACTAGTGTATTGATAGAGGTCAATTTTCAAATTGCCGGTCGTCATTCGCAGGGCATTCTGTATAATTCTATTTGATTCTTGCACTGGCACATTGATACCACTAAAATCCTTCTGATCCATGATTGGTTTAAAGTATAGTGCACCTAAAGAAATAATTTTAAAAATACATTACCTTGTACAAGCTGAAAAAGTTAAATTAAGTATTGCGTGAAGAATAATTGTTATTCTATAAGTTAAAGTTATTTTTATGTTATAATGTATCTGATTACTTTTTTGTTGTAAAATAAGCAAAGAATACTTAAGATCCAAAAAGATTCTTTTCCTCAGTGTTTTAAATAATATCTTGTAGTTATTGGTTTCCTAAATATCATGAAGAATAAAACCTTATGGTAAGCTGATTTACCTGAGAGGGGATCCCTTGCATCCTGCACAGGTAACTCATCAATGACGATGTACACATCAAGTGTGTCATCGTCCAGGTAGTAGGGAGAAATGAGATGTTTGGCAAAGAAAGATTTGGCAAAGTAGTGCAGCATCTTCCAGGATCCATCATAACCTGATGTTCATGCCAAGAAGTTGTTTGTTAAATTCTAATTACATCCAAGTTAATGAAAATGTTAGTATCAACATCTAGTGAAGAAATTTTGATAGTTCCACAACACTAATATATATTACAAATATGAATAAATGTAATGCTAACCAAAGAAGCCCATGTTGGAGTGTGCCAAATATTATTGAGCTGCCAGTACAAAGCCCCCACCCTTAAATGTGACTCACCAATTGAAGCCCATGTAGGAGCCTGCCATATATCATTGAGCTGCCAGTACAAAGCCCCCACCCTGTGACTCACCAATAGAAGCCCATGTAGGAGCCTGCCATATATCATTGAGCTGCCAGTACAAAGCCCCCACCCTTAATTGTGACTCACCAATAGAAGCCCATGTAGGAGCCTGCCATATATCATTGAGCTGCCAGTACAAAGCCCCCACCCTGTGACTCACCAATAGAAGCCCATGTAGGAGCCTGCCATATATCATTGAGCTGCCAGTACAAAGCCCCCATGGTTAACCCTCTACCATCTGACAGGAGCTGTGACTGGTGACGTCTGTAATGTTCTGTCTGGGTGCGGATTGACATGGCCTGGTTGATCTGGGAGTAAGTTAGTTTAGATTAATTTAAATGTCTGCCCGTATTTTAACTTATAGCAACGTATGTTTGATAATTGCCATCAATTGATCTAATAACATAAATAAAATTAACATTTGTTTGACCTGAGTTAAATAAATAAAGTCAATAAACTTTTGCTTTTCATCTAGTGATGTTGGTAACTTTATGTGTAGAGCTACTTCTGCTGCCATTTCTGTATTACCTAATTTTGAAACATGAAAATAACATCAATTATGGAGGTAACTGTATCTAATATCACCCTAGAAATTGGTTTCCATTAAGCAACCTCACAGCTTCTATATATTATTTCATTAACATTAGACAGCAAGTAAAATTTAGTTTGAATGAAACAAAAATTATCTTTTATTTAAAAAAAAATTATTTATGTGAGAAGAATTATTAAATAATTAAAAAAGAGTCTTGCGTCAGGAAAACAGTGCTCACCTCCACCATGGTGCTGTCTATGGTTCACCATGTCTGAGTTCATGGCAAAGTCTGAATACGTGAACACACTGGCAAGGCTCTCATTGTTACACCAGGCTTGCACACCAAACTCAGACGCCATACGGGGTACTTTAAACCCTTTTACATTCCACTGGTCAACAGAGTAGTCATAAAAGTGAACTGAAACATCAAGAAAATTTACCAGCTCCATTGTAAAATTAAGAAAACAAAATTAACTTAATTTTAACAGATTAATTAAAAATACTTTTGTCAACTTTAAATAAAAATGTAATAATTTTTACATTGAATTTTGTTTAAATAATTGGAAGTAAAAATGAATTTAAAAATACTGTGCATCGCCCAATCAAATTTGATTTTCCAGTGTTTATAACCTGTGTCTGCCTCAATTCATTTAATAAAATCAAACGCAAAAATTATTTAAGAATATTTGCGAGGAGAATTATCAATCAATTATTGATTAATTTAAACAGTGTAATTAGACAAAGACTTACCATCTCCATACAACTCACTCCCAGGATCTTGAGCAACGTAACCTTCCTTCTCTGTCTCTTTCCCATCTGATGGACTTGACGTAAGGTACACTCGACTTGGGTCTTCTGCTTCAACTGACAAAATAAAAGAGGATTGTGCTATTTCAATGTTCTGTATATATGTTAGATTAAAAATCTTGAAACTGAACTGATACAGATCTAATTGCAAGAAATGTATTGACTATAAATAAACCTAAAAAATGGCATGCTATTTTAAGTTTAAATACTCACTTAAAGGCTTCATTGTGGAAACATATAATTTTACATAATCTTCATAGTACAAAGTGTAATTCTTTATCCCAAACCAGTTTTGTCTTAATCCAGCCTCATTTTCATTGTTGCCAGCCCATACAAGAATTGAAGGGTGAGATTTGAGTCTCCATAACTAAAACAGACAAGCAACAGAATCTTGGAATTAATGCCAAAAACATATATAATTTAAAAATCAACAACAACAAAACATTAGTTAATTAGATACTGGGACAGTACTGGACATGCTTAACCAGTGTAATATAGTTTCCCCATGACAAAAAGACACCAGTTTTACCAGTTTAAAAAAAAAAGTAAACCTGTTGCTTTATTTCAGTGGAGACAGAGTTGAGAAAACTTTGGTAGGTGGGGTACAATGCTACACTAAACATGAAGTCTTGCCAGATCATGATGCCCAGCTGGTCACACAGTTGGTAGAACTCATCTGATTCATACACCTGTTCATTAAAAGAATGATAATGGTAATAGCTTTGACAGTTACTCGTCTGTGTTTGCACCCAGTGTTTCTTCCAGACTTATTTCTTCGGGGGGGGGCACTTGAAATCTTTGGGGGGGCGGTAAACTTTCTTCGGGGGGGGGGGGGGGGCGGACACTGTTAAAAGTATATATTTTCTATATAAATTATATAAATTTCGTTCGGGGGGGGGGGGTGGTAAAATTTTTTCGCCCCCCCCCCCCCCCCCCGAAGAGATGCCTGGAAGAAACTCTGTTTGCACCTAAAACAATTTGTTTTGATCTAGCTTGAATTTTAAATTTTTTTTTAAAGTTCTCTCTTTTCATTACATTTGAAATAGATATGAATATTTAAGAATAATTTTTAAAATTAGATCTATCTCAGATGTAAATACAGATAGCTATATGATGTGTGAGTCAACATTTTAGGATCTTTAGAGACTGAGAAATTTTAAAGGGCCTACTGATTAATTAAATAACAAGTAGATATCACATCCTACATCTATACTAGTTATTTTTAAAATTGCCAAGGTTCACATAAGTTCTATTTTAGTGGGGATTGTATTCCATTTGCAAATCACATATTATGTAGTAGTAAAAGTAAATTGTAACAAATATAAGGAACAACCTACCCCACCACCCCAGACCCGCATAGCATTAGTGCTAACATTAGCTGCTGAATGCAATAAATGGGACAGCTGCTGTGGAGTTATCCTCTCCTGGAAGCTGTCAGCCGGGATCCAGTTACTTCCCTTTAAGAAGATAGGGACACCATTGACTTTGTAGTAGAATGTTAAACCTGTTGATACACACATATGGTTTAATCACTGTTAACAAATCACGTTTAACAAATCACTGTTAAAAAATCACTGTTAACAAATCACTGTTAACAAATCACTGTTAACAAATCACATTTAAAAAATCACTGTTAACAAATCACTGTTAACAAATCACATTTAAAAAATCACTGTTAACAAATCACTGTTAACAAATCACTGTTACCATGCAGCTTGTGCTAATGAAATTGCCATGAACTGTGGCTGCTACTAAAAAATGGGCTGTCCTAACCTGGCTGAGTGACGTTATATACTGGATCCTGCACCAGTTCCACTGTCCTGAACCCAATCCGAATGGATTTCTGGGATGTGTCCACTGATGTATTCAAATTGACCACCAAGTCAAAGAGAGGCTGACTGCCATAGCCATTGGGCCACCACAATGGCACTGAGGTGCCCTGGGTTATGTTTAAGGTAGAAAAATATTTTGAGTAGTGTTAACATTGTATTTGTCATTTACCATACCTGCAGTTTCAGTTCTATTGAAATGTTTATTCTGATGTGTTTATAATAATAAAATGGGCTTTATAGACAGCAAACATTATTACAGGAGGCACAAAGACAGATTTATGAAGCTTCTATTAACAATGAACAGCATTATGTTTGTATCACTTTAAATAGTTTATATGATCAATGTATATATAAATCGTTACATAATATAAATATTAGTTGGGTGGGGGGGGGGTACTTGTAAATCAACAGTTGTAAATTGCCAACAGAAGAAGTTGTATGCAAACAGTTAATTTAGGACGACAAAATCACCAATGTACAACTGGTATTTCAACGATAAAATTACCAACTTACAACGGGTACTCCAATGACAAATTTAAAGGTGTTTGCAGTAGTTGAGATGACAACAGCCTTTGTGTAAGTGATATTTAACTCTGGGAGTTCCGCACTCAGCCGGCCTGTCACAAACCCAATAGAATCTGTACTATCAAACTCCACCTCAACTGCAATCTGCCACTGATCATTGACTGGGTAAAAAAAGGGTTTAGTATGACATGAGTGCATCAAATCTTAAACCTGGCATAACTTGATTGTGTAGTTGAGGTACAGAAAACAATTAAATAAACTGTTGCAGCTTCTATATTAGAATCTTTATATTTCTTTACTTCTGCCCTCTACCTATTTTTACACACATTTGCTTTCTACTAATTTAGCTCACACATTTTACGCAATGCTAAAGCAAAAATTAAGTGGTAATTATTGTCAAATAAAATATCATTTAACGGGATAGCGAGGCTTAGCAGTAGAGAGCTAGACTGCTAACCCATAAGTCTCGAGTTTGAATCATGGTTCAAGTCAGTAGATCGTACCTGAGTCCTCTCAGCTCTAATAGGCACCTAACTCACTATAGGGAAAGTAAAGGCAACTGGGCATAGTGCTGACCACACTATCTCTTTATTTGCCGAGGTCACAGAAACAGATGAGCACAACTTCACTTGCCCTGTTGAGCGTCAGGTTTGGAAGGGGAACTTTTCTTTTTTTTTTTTAAATTTCATTTCAGTAGAATTTGTGTACGAAATTTTTAAACTCATTAATTTAAAATTCCTTTTAAAAACTTTATTACTTTAATGATAAGCTTGAAACAGGGAGGTAATTCTTGCATCTCCTATAAATAGAGTTTGGTAACTGCAAAGACTGAGAGCTAGATCTAGTGTTTGGATTGGTTTAGCTATCATTACCAAAGTCCTATTGATATTATTTCATTGCCTCTGGTTTTGTGGGGTATAGCTTTTTACCTTTGGTGACAACTGCAGTCAAATCTCTAATGATAGCACTGCTAAAGGAATCTATGTAGATAGGCTTCCTGTCAGAAATAATCAGTGTTA